CGGCGGGAGGGGGAAGCCGGGGCCTGTGGTAAAGCCCTGGGTCTGCAGAGGGTTTGAAGTCTCAAAGGCGCAGAAATGCAGAGCGGTATCTGACGGAGGAGCTGGCACAGCACCCGCCGGGGCAGCCCGGTGTTTTTATAAGCGTTTGGAATAACCTTTGATCGCTAAATAGTTTGAACAACAAGCAGTTTTGCCACTCGTGTTTATTTTGGAGCTGAGGGTGTTTTCCAGTCCTCTTGCTTGGAGTGTTTTGTAGCTTTTTCTTGGCCTGCCATCAGTCGAGTGAGCTGTGATGAGGAATGTGGAGGTAATCAAAACCAGAGGATTTATCTGTGTGTGTGTGGGCTTGGGAAGATTTAATATCTTTCCAGCTGGATGTGGTTACAGCTGTCGAGGCCTGGTTAAAGCCAGCTGGGTTGCTCTGAGGGTTATACAGTATGCTAAGTGGTGTAGGCTTTTTTCTTGGTGAAAGCTTAGCTGAGTTTAGACTTAATGTTTCAGGTGATGCTAGATGATGAAAGCTAACTGGATTTGTGTGCAAATAAATAGTGGTGTTGGTCAGATCTCTTTTTTTTTTTTTCTTCTTCAGCTGACTGTTCAACCCTTCTTACCACATCTCTGCAGTTTAAATTTGAACACCTGGAATCTTTTTGTAGAGACATCAAACAGTTGGGGCTACATTATTTGGGCTTTCATCTTGCAAATGTTTACATTTGTGCTTAGTTTTATGCACCTACTTGTTCATAGGATGGGGTTCTGAATTTGGGAAACAAAGAGATCAATCAGTGACCTAATAAATGTGTAATTCTCTGTTGATCACAATGAATGAAATATTTCCCTTTTGTTGTGAGAGAGTTTGCAGATACTTTGTTCATACATTATAAGACTTTGCTGAGGCTTGTTAAAGTTGTCAGCCCCTGTGACAATTAAAAGTACCCGTGCTATTTTGTAAACACTGTTATTCATTCTGTGGTATTTTAGACGTGCAGGCTACTTGTCAGGATGCCATTGTCACACAACAGCTTCTGCAAGAGGGCTTCCACAGGTAAGCTGTCACTCAAGAACTCCATCAGAATAGCTTGCCATGTAATTTCATGTGTGAAGAAGTTTGTTTTCAATTCATGCATAGTTTTATCGGCTCACTGGGCCGTATCAATGGGTATGTATGTGGCTAGACGCTAGCTATGTGAATATTAGCATGATCAAGTATTTAACAGTTACAAGTTATAGTAGAAGAAGAACAGGAAGCTACCTTCTAAAACGTTTGTGGTGATTGTTGGCAGCTTAAATAAGCGTAATTTTATTTTTGTTCTGGATCTGGAATTAGGGTGAACTACAGCTTCCTAAATGGAAAAGAACAGAATAGCTTGACAGAGAGCTATTTTCTGAATGAATACCATGTAGGACAAATATGTGAGAGCTGTGTCTAATTGCTGGGCATTTGGGAGCACGTTTCTTGGATTTTTTGGTGACGTCTTTTGAAACGCAGGTATAAACATTTGCTTCTGTTGCGTGTTTTAAGGGACCTATTGATGAAAGTAGAACTTGGTATAATGGAGGAGGATATAGGAGGATGCACAGTGGCAGCTAGAATTCGTCTTCCACCAGGAATCTATGTGGATCCCTATGAACTGGCATCACTATATCAGCACAACTTAACAAAGGTAACGTGCCCCAAAGTTGAGACATCTCACAGCTATTCTGATAGGAAAGAGTATGATTTTTGCCAGCATTTGGAGAATGCATTGCTCAGGAAGCTATAATCCGTGATTATTATGTAGCTCCTAGAATGCAAATGACTTGCTCCTTTTCCTGAAAGGAGATGCTGCACAGTATCATATTCTTGACTTTCCATTGCATCTGTCAGCCTTAGCAGCACTACCTGATGCAGGGCATGTTTTATGTCATGTGCTGGTGATGTTTCTACATGTAGGTGTGCAGACCTGGGAGTCACTGCAGATCTGTTTAGTTCCAGTTAGCAATTCTGGTAAAAGCTATCTGGATTGAAAAGACGGAAAGTTAACCCCTGTAAAAGAGGTGGTGGCAGGGAAACCAGCAGTGATTGCATGCTACTTATCTCCTCAGTCTCCTTGTCAAGACACAGTAGAAAGTATCAAAGTCTTCAAAGAAGTAAAGTAGTGGCTTCTCTGATGCACTCTAAGTAGCTATGAATCCAGACTGAGTAGCTTCACAGTTTCTGTTTCATCACAGCTTTCTTTGTTGCCTTCTAGTATTTATATTCTGATTTGGGGTAGAAATGTGATAAGGCTGTGGCTTTAAGGTAATCCCCTTATGTACTTAATTCAGTTAAAACATATGGGTGCAAAGACACTGGGCAACTTCTGATGTTGCGATGCTTGCATGTACTCTTATGCCCCTATTAATGGCATAATTACATTGTAAACGCTTCAGATTTAAGTAACTCATTGGGCAGGGACTTGAAAAGTTATTTTGGAGCAGCGCAAGGACAGAACTTCCAGTATGATCCTCCTGACCATGGAACCAGGCCCAGTGTTAGAAACTAGAATGGTGAGGAAGATAGTTTTCATTAGAATTAGGTTGTAGTAATCTGCCATTTATAATTAGAGAAGGCAGTCATTTCCCAGTTTCTAGCTGCATCTTCTGGAGAGGTGCCCAGATTTTATAGTCAAAAGTAAGTATGGGGGACTCTCTGATTACGGCTAGTGGATTTTTCTGAGTTTGAGGCATGAAGATACATGCAAGTCTTGATTTTGTAAAATGCTAGAATAATATGGAGCTAGTGAAAGACATTCTAGAAAGGAAATTAATTCATTCATGTTAGAAAGTTTGCATGTTTCAAACGAGCACATCTGCTGAATTTTTTCTTAGCTCTCCAGGCAAGTAGGCAGGAATAAGGAGAAACAAGGAACTTAAGCAAGGGGAAGAGAAGTATTTTTGAATAACTTTCTTTGCAACAGATCCCAATTCAATTAGTGTGCAATTAAAGTGCTGAAACTGAGGTCTGAGAGATTTATGTGCAATTTTTGGCTCCACTGCAGCCTACTTGAATTGCCAGTCCTTAGTTCTCCCTCTTTAAATTGGGACTAGGCAGTGCTTCCCTCCTCCCGACATTGCTCTGTTTAAATTGCGCTCATGTGCTAAGAAACAATCATAAAACTATCCATAGTACTTAGCTCAACGGGACCCCTTTCTCAGCTAGAATAACTGGGCACTCCTGTAATATAATGTTTTGCAGTGGATGCAAAACAATGGCTTAAATTGTTGATCTGCATCATAACTTTGGACTGATGTGGATGGGCTTCAACTTGCTTCCTATTAGATGCTTCTAGACATCTACTCTGAGCTCACGGAGTAGATTTTCTTTATAGCCAGTTGGAAAGATAGGCACTTCTAGGACATGGTTCATCTTGTCCCGAGTTTGATGGCCAAGAATAGGTCAGATGACTGTAACTGCTTGGTATCTGTCCTCATTAGGGAGATTTACATGACTGGTCTGTTGTGGGAGTCTTAGGTAAGACAACGTGTTACACAGAGTAAAGTGCAATCTATATGTATGCAGAGTAGACTCCTACAGTTGACTTTCTTTGAAACTTTGAAGAACAAAGTATTAATGTAATGTTCTGATGCTGCAGTATGTTACCACAGCAGATAGTGACCTTAAATCCCAGAGTGGAACACGCTATGTCCATATGTGTTTTCACATCCATCGCCTGTGTTGATTCTGGTGGCAACCGTGCCTGTATCTTTCTCCACTTGCAGGAAGTGTTAATTTCTGATGCTGTTGATGTGGAAGCTCCTGAATACTTAGCCACAGATCTTGTTGTTCTTACCTACATGAAACCCGACCCTCAGTGTTCCCGCTGTTTTAGAGCTGCCTTGCCCGTGCATGGACGGTACCACCGGCCAGCAGAAAACAATGGGGAAGCGTTGGTGGTTCTGAAGAGTCCAGAAGTACTGATCTGCTGCTGTGACAGTGAGTCTCATTGTACATACTTTGGTGGGGTGGAGGGGAGGAATAACTGTAGAATCTGGACCTGTTCTCTCTTCTGGAGACAGAGCTCTTAGTAGCCATGTGAAAATGGGAGGAAGATAGTGGTCCCAATAAAGGACATGTTGGCTTCCTCTTTGCATTTACTGTGTATTAGGATGAATGCTACTGCTGTGGGGTTTTTTTTTGTTTTTTACTGTAGGGGGCTGTATCCCCTGAGTTTGGGCTCTTTCACCTGGAAGCATTGACAGTTGGTTTATTTGTCGCAGTCCCTGCAGGCTCTTTTGCTAAAGATCAGCTACTTAGGCCACGTTTTCACAATGTTTCTCTCTTGGCAGCTGAAGCCCTGCATGGCATATTTAATATTATTTGGACGCAAGTACTTAAAGTATTCCGATGGTTTCCAACTTTCTCCTCCTGCGTATGTTTTGAGAAAAATGTAGAAAACTGTCTTGCTGAAGGATGGAATGATTGGAGTCTCAGACTTCTCTGAAACAAGAATCTTGTATCCACTAACAACAAATACTTTAAGTTATATGAACAATTAAGTCCCCCATTTTTGCTACAAATTGTATTTTCTTTCATGAAAACGTTCTTGCTAGCTGCTAAGTCAAATGTGCTAATGTAACTCCACTTCTTGAGCATTATTGCAGCAATTATTTTATGGGATAAGGTAGAGGGAAGGGAGGACTGCTTGGTCAATAAAAAAGGGGTGTGAAATCTTCCTGTTCTTCTGCCTCATGCACTACTTAAGAAATATGTTTTCCTGCTCATAACTAACGTAAGAACGTTTAAAGTAGGTGAGGGGAATTCTTGCATGCGGAAACAGGAAGCCAACAAGGATAAATGAAAGAATGACTTCTGTGTTCTGGGGAAAGAAATGTTAACTGCATGGCTGGATGTGGGGAGTCTGCAGACCAATGATGAATCCTTTGCCCTGGTAAGGACAGAGGGGTCAAGATACCACACGGGTGATACTTCTTGCTTAGGCATCTGCTATCTCAGGAACAGAAGATAGAAAAGTCATGAAAAGGACTGCCAGCACCACTTTGAATACACAGGTTAGCTGGTACGTTTCTGTCAGTACCTGTGCTATTTTACCTTTTGGCTAAAAGGTAAGTTGGTGCTGTTGGTGCTGAGTTGGTGCTGTCAAGACATTGTGAAGGAAGGATACCTAATTTGGAGAAATCTTGCAGGCCGTATGGCTTCATCCTGTCTGGCTTTTTTGATGACGCGTTAATGTCTTCTGTAGGTCGCGTGTCAACAGAGTGTTGGAAACCTTCTGAAGTGGAAGCTCCCTGTTCAGGGAGAAATGACTACCCGTGTCAGTGGTATAGCATAAAGCACAAACCTGTGAGTTTTTGTTTCTGTTGAAAATCCTTGGTTCTCATTTAACAATTGCTGCCTTTATCTATGATTAGCATGTTCCAGAGCCTGGGAACTAATCAGTTAAATGGCTAGTTGTGTGATTCCTCCTTATGGAGGCTCCTTTCTTCCTTTCTGACTTGCTTTAGTGGGTGTCATTCTGACATGCTTGTAATAGCTCTCTGTGCTCTTCTACCCTTTGATGGCAGCTCCTTTTTTTTAGTTTGCTTAATAGTGTTGTTGGAATTCGATGATGTAATTGACACTGGTTGATTCAAGAAAGGACTTTGCAGTATAGGTGCCTCAGACAAGTAGCAAAGTGGAAAATAGTGTTATGAACTAATTGAAAAGAGGGATTAAATCCCCACAGGTTTATAAGGAATAACACCTAAAAAGGCCAGTTCTGTTTATCTGGTTGTTTTCTGATCAGCAAAGTGTCTAAGAAATATGAAGTTTCTTTGTTCTGTGTTTTAAGCCAGGTAAAGTTGAATCTTTAGTATGGTCAATAACCGCCTTTGAAACTGGAAAGGGTTGCACTGCTGTAGAGGTTCAGAAATAAGACTAAATTGTCTTGTAACAAATCTGTTGGCTTTGTAACATGCATGCCTTCCTGCATCTAGGATATCGGCAGATGTCTCGGGTATCCACAGTTCTTGTCCAGAAATGTTTGGGAACTTTCTGCAACACAAAGAAACCAAATAGTTGTTTGCCTTGGAGAAAACTCACTTCTCAGTAATCTGCAAAATGCTCATTCCGCGCGCTTATTTTTTTAATACTGTATTACATACAGATCCCCAATGGTAAGCCTGTTATAAGAAGAAAGCTATAGAGAATATAAATGGCCACCATTTAAAATGCAGCAGATTATTGAGCTTTGTAATACAAGAAGTGGCTGACTCTCCAGAAGGGCAGTAGACTGAAAGGGTATGTTGCATCTCAGTTTTGCTTTTGAATCCCAAAACGAGCCTGAGTAAAGGGACAGTTAAATACTGGTCTGATCACAAATCACTAATCCTCTACAGTTGCAGTCCAAAAGAAATGGCCTGTTAAATATGTGTATTAACTTGTTTTTCTTTGTAGGTCTATGAGGAGTTGATTCTGCAGGTTCCAGTGGGGCTCAGACAACATAATTCCTTAGTGTGTGTCGTGACTCTTCTTAGCACGGTCCTCTGTTCCAGCGTGATTCTTGCAGCTGTGTGCAAATATGGGCACTTCTCCCTGGAGACTTTCTCAGAGCAGAAGTAAAGCAATACTCAGAAGTAAAGGAATGATGGAGTTCAGTGCAGTAAAACTGACAGAATATTGATTGCATCAGCTTCCTAAACGAATCCTACTCTGCTATTATTGATATTTTGGTAGCGTGTGAGGGTCCCATAATGGATTATTGTTCTCTCGGCCTAATTCTTACAAATGCCTTTCACACATAAGATCGTTTCAACGCATCGTAAAACGACAAAGCAGACGGAGGGTGAGAACAGCACTGCAAAGTGCTGAAAATACTTGTCACAGGCCATGCAGCAATAGTCAAGAACAGAGTCCTGGTCTCTGATTGCCGAACTGCCCCTGCTCCCCCAATCCAGAGCCTGTTTCAACTGTAATGCTGCCTCTTGCAGAGATGTGTGTATTTCTTGGATTTAAAGGAACTGACTTGGGGATTGGTTATTAAGGGTATGAAAAACATCATCTAGTCATTAAAGTTTCTGAATTTTAAGCTTATTTACACAGTCCGGGTTGGTTATCTATGAATTTGTGAAGAGACATCCTGTGCTTACCTGGGACAATAAAAGACTTAAATAATAACTCCCCCCACACACACACACACACTCCCCCTTCCCCCTTTTTTTTTATTTAATGACTGTTTGATGACTTGGTCAAATCAATCAGATTTGAAAGGGGGCTTTGAAAATTTGAAAGAAATTTCACCCTATGTCAGAATCTGGGCAAATAATCCTTAGACGATGAGAGCTGGTGAAGAGATACTAACTAGAAGCAAATATTTAGAAGACTTGTATTCACTCATCAGAACAGTTGATAAATGCAAGGAAATGGAGAGGAAATTACTTCATTAATGGAAAAACTAAGTTGCTGTGGGTTGACAGAAGAGCTTGGTTGCCGTCTTTGTCAGTAGGTGGCGTTCTGAGCTTAAAGTAACTCATAAGGACTGTAGAGAAAACAGATATTATTCCCTATAAACTTTTTACTGAATTACTAAAAGGTGATTTTGGGCAGGGGGAGGTGAATGAAAATTCTGGCTTTTGAATTCTTTCCTCCTGTTGAGGCCTCTATGTGCAGCCTAGATGTCTCATCAGCAGAATCAACTTTTCATCATTGTCCGGCTGTAGCCTCAGGATCCCCTGGACGTCCTTCCTCCGCTTCTGCTGCGATTCAGTAGAAAGCTCATCTTGTGATTTTGCCCACAACAGGTTAGCAAGTGCTCTGACACTGGGCTCTTGTTTTCTCTTGACTGCTCTGAATGATGATGGCCGCGCCAGGACTTCATCCACTACCTCAGTGCATGACTCTTCTGCATCTGTTTGGGGGAAGGGAGAAATTAAAAGAGAACAATTGCAGAGAGATTTGGTGACAAATTTAACCATATCAGTGCAGCAGGGCTGTGACAAGATAGGCTGTGAATCAGTATTGCAACGCTTGTCTCTGAGTGGGATTTTTGTTTTTATTCCCAAAGTTGAATTTGTTCTTGTACTCGCTCACATGCAGGTACATAATTCTGTGTTGCAGTCTGACCCTTGCGATGGCAGCATCCCAGATTGCCATTCGTTTCTGACAGATCTTTTGCTTCTGAAAGTTCACAATTTCTTTAATGTTGGATAATACCAATTGAAAATCACAGTTTGAATTACTTATGTAAAACAAGCTGCCTAATATCTTAGTCCAGCGAAAGCAAACAGTGATTTCCTTGTGACCAATGAGAAAAATATTACTTTGGCAAAATATGAAGAGCGGCTGTTTTAGAAATTAGTAGAAGTGATGATGCGAGAATGGAAACCCATGTTAGTGGCAAGCTATAGTAGAGAAACTGAGGCAGGAGGGGCTTGAATTACAGGGGGCTTAGCACTGTCAGTACGAAACAAATAGCTGACATCAGACCAGTTTAAAAGTGGCTGCTAATGGGGGAAACTTCAGGGCACTAATCAGTTTGGAGGGTGCCTGGCTTACTAAGCATCTGTAACGTGCATTGAGATCCACTGATCGGCTTCTAGACTGAGCCTTAGTAATATTTATTCTTGTTGATGTAAAATTTGAGAGAAATCACAGAATTTCTCAGTGAATGTTTTTTGCTGTGGCAAATAGCAATGATTTGCTGGTTTTAAATTCATAGCAGTTGTGTTATAAAAATACAGTAGACAGGTTCTTCTCTAAAAGCTGTAATGTCAGTCATTAGCCAGGGGTCACTGGCAGATGCAGAGGAGCCATAATCCAACCAATTCTCTGTTAAGAAATTCTGGCAGTTTTGGAGACAGAAAGGAGGGGACTGCACGCTAGTTTGAGTTGTTAGCAAGACAACATAGATACAAGAGTCAGACACAAGCGTATACGTTATTGATGAGTGTAAGGATTGAATTAAATAAAGGAATTAAAGCAATAAAAGAAGGGGGAGGGGTACAGGGGGAAAAAGGCACGTTAAGAGTTAAGGGTTCTATCAGAGACTCTGAATCACAAGTGAATGTGCATAATTTAAAAAAAAATACTCTTTTAGTTTGTTCTAAAAAGACATGCCTGGGGAGAGAATGGAATGGGAGGTGGATAAGAGTTGTGAAAAGGCTTTGGGGCAGGACCTGAATGGGTTTGGGGGTACAAAGCTGAATCGGAAAGAAGCAAGGTCATTTTGTAGGAAATGAAAGTAAAGCTGGAGGAGGTGTGAAGAAAGTTTAGAAACCTGCCACAGTTTCTTGAGAAGTACATAACTGTGGAGATTAATTACCAGAACTTTTAGTGCTGAAAGGGATTAATAGGGAGTTGAGTCTAAGCAGGGAGAATGACAAAGCAGCATACGAAGAGAAGTGGGGACGATGGCCTTGTCTGCAGTAGGAAGGAGACCAGAACAGTTGCCACTGGCCACAGCAGGGTCACTGCAGAGTACTACTCCTGGAATAATGCAGTGGAAATATTGGAGGTCTATGGGGGCATGTGTTCTGCAATCACTCACTCTGCATTAATTCTGTGGAGCTTAACAGAGATGATGACCAGCAAACGTGGGCTGAAAGCAGCAGAAGCTGGAAAGGCTGTTTTGCACTGTTTGTCCCTGGACGTGTGGGCAGGTACCAGGCCGTAATGGTAGCCGCCTACTTTTCCCAGACTTCTTACGAAAAGGATCTGCCTGACATGCTTTCTTTTCTTTCTGAAGGAAAAATCAGATGTTGCTTCAAGCCTGGGTTGAAGGAGGAGGTCAGGTCAGAGCTGCAGGGCAGGTGGATGTTTGGGTAAGTCATCTGGAAGATTAAATATGTCATAGGAATTTTGGGGGAGTAGGAGTTTCGAGGGCAAGTATGCTGCTTTCTCAGCTGTGCTTGCTACTACAGCTCTTGGTACCTGGGCGTTAGAGTAACTACAGAAGAGGTGGTGCAGGTCACTAATGACAGGACATGGTAATGCTGGCAGCGACTCTGGGTTCTGCTGCTGTAGTTCACATATAGTCCTTTTGGCAATACCGTCAAGACACCGAGCTGCAAGGATTCGTGGAATTGGAAGCACGTGGATTATTCTAAGTTAGAGGGAGAACGGTTAATTTGTCATTGGCTATGCTAATACAAAAACAAGCTCCTTCCAGCACATTAAGGCAAGAGGAAGGCCGAGCATAGCATAGCTGAGGAAGGCAAAGCACAGCCCTCTGGTGCTCTTGGACGCCCCTGCCAGAGGCAGCAGCTGCTCCACAAGCACGGCGGGAAGCCCCCATGCTGCAGTAAACAAGTTTTAACCAACAAATCACAGAATGGCTAAGGTTGGAAGGGACCTCTGGAGATCATCTAGTCCAACCTCCCTGCTAAGCACGGTCCTCCACAGCATATTTCCCAGGATCACAGACGAGTTTTGAATAACTCCAGGGAAGGAGACTCCACTACCTCTCTGGGCAACCTGTTCCAATGCTCTGTCACCCTCACAGGAAACACGTTTTTTCTCAGGTTCACATGGAACTTCCTGTGGTTCAGTTTCTGCCCAGTGCCTCTTGTCCTGTTGCTGGGCACCACGGAGAAGAGACTGGCCTCATCCTCTCGACACTCCCCCTTC